AGTATTTTTACTACAGGACAAACTGAGATGGCATATGTATACTGTTCTTTTGGGGCTTTTTTACCCATAAGTAAAGTAATGATAGCTAGAAAATCCTTTCTGTTTCTTGACATGTTTTTGGAACTGAAAAGACTTTATAAATCTTCAGCTGTATGTATTTACTACAGCACTAAAGAAATGTCCTTTCTACTGACCAAATACTGGGGCACCTCTCCCATGCCCACAAATAATGCATGTCCAGAAAGCAGAGGTTCTGTAGGTGGATTGGGTTTTTTTCCTTCCACTTAAATTCAAGATGTGGAGAAAAATGCTCCATAATATATATCACAAAACTGAAGATTTCTGTTTTCTCTGCTCTTCGTGATATGGTAAAATCATTATTAGTAAGTATTAATTATTATTCAATTCTTTTGGTGATCTCATCATGTGGACTATGTAGTGCTGAGACTGGAATGATGAAGACATGCACTTTATTTTACAGAAGCTACTGAAACAGAACCTGTTTTCATTCAGCTCTTCTCTATGATCCATTCCATTGCTGACTTTTCTTGTTATGTCTCCTGTCTTCTGTTTGACATGTATGCTTCATTTTATTGCTATTAAGATTCAGGATCCAATTATTTTTCAGTGTAACTGAGGATATGGAGTTAAATCCTTTAATTAAAATCAAACAAACCCTTCCCCAGTACCTGTCTGTAATGTGGCATATGAGGAATTTCTTGCATATCGCACCAGCCAGGCTTAGTCTGGTATTCATGAAAATCATGTAAAAATGTTAATGTGCAGAAATAGAAGAGTCACTGTAAGATTCTAGACTGTTCCTTTGTTTTTTAGAGAAAAGAATCAGCTGACAGGGTCAAACACTGCCATATAAAATTAGACCGAATGAAAGAAATTAATCTTTGCAGCCCTGACTAATACATAATTTCACTCTTCTGCAGTAGCTAAGTGAGATTACAGCCTTTTCTATTTTGAGGTTTCTTAAGTATTTAAAGCCTTTGAAGTTTTTGGAAAATGCAGTCATGTCACTGCAACGTTTAAAGGAAAGTCTGCAGTTTTTTAGCACCTCGGATTTTTATTTTTCAAAAATAAGTTTAATTTTTAATAGTCGTTTCATCTTTGGATTTAGAAATGTGTTTTATTCATGTTCAAAGCATCTTCTAATAAGATTACTAAGGTGACTTTGAGCAATGACCCTTGTCATCACATTAACTGATTTAGAAATTTGGTTCACACTGTTTCTAAATGTTCCTTTCCTGTGGGCTTTTAAAACAACTTTATTCTAAAAGTTCTAGTAAATACAACCATAATTCAGTTCAAAACTATATTTTAAAATCTAGTTAAAAAAAAAGAAAAAAAGCAAGTGAAATATGTATATAATGAAAAAGTTGTCTATTTAAATCTACTTCTTTGAGGCAGCCATCTCAGCCATCTAAAAATAACTCTCAAGAAATGAGACTAGAACATTAATTTTCTTTGCCATTTTAACTCCTTTTTTTTTTTTACATAATATGAGGTAGATTTATATATTGAAATACTTTTATAAGAAATCTGAGGTCGATGCTAGATTTTATTTTAATCCTGAAGCTTATGAAAACATCAGAAAAGACACTGCCTAAATGGATGAAAGATGTGCTTTGAAGGTAGTTCAGCTTGTCTCAAACATAAGTGGTCCTTCCCTTTTTGCAGATGAAATCAGTGCATGTGAGTACCCAAAGGCTTTAAGGCTTTTCTGACTTGCTGTGCAGAAAGTAAAGAGGAAGTTCTTCTCTTCATTCTCTTAATTCTGCCACCCAACCTTAGTGTTATAAAGCTGAAAACACGTGACCCTTAGATTATGATTCCTCTATCTGTTTTTATAAGTGGACTGAATTTTGGGAAGTATGGATTTCAGATCAAATACATATGAAATCAATAGATGATGTGCAGACACGTGACATGGATATTCAAATACTCTTTGACCTTATATACAACTCTTCATTACAGTATTTCACTTTGTTTGAAAAGAGCCCAGATTCTAAGAACCAGAAATAGGTTAATCCTTCCCTGTTGGCTATATAACATTTGCATGCCAAAATGCTGGCTTTGTACCAGAAGATTCAGCTCGTGGTTGATGCATTTGAACAATTTATTTACCGTTGTTCTCAAATGCAAGAACTTGAATTATTAATTACTTTGAGTATTCACAAGTTGAGCATAAAATGGTGTCCTTCAGTTATTATGATAAAATTGAGCTAATTCACAATTAACTGAAATTCTGAAAAAAACCTCTTGATTAAATTCAATCCGCAGATCTCAAGTGAGAGATCTGTGCTGTTACTCCTTTAGTACCTTTCTGAAATATTCCTGTACCACTAAGTAACTAGGGACTGTCCAGACAACCTTTACTCTAGTAATGTTTGTTCAGTTTAAGTGATTAATTACAGAGTATAAAAATTCTAATATAACAAACTTCATTCCTATCTTCTCCCAAGGGTTCCAAAACACAGTGATTTCCTTTTACTCTACCAAACTGTGCCTAACCATGGAGCTGTAAAAGGAAGGTGTTACCAGATTTAGAAGAATAAAAGAAAGCCTCTTCTTTTTTAAATGTGCTCTTTTCACAAATGCTGTGAAATGCAGTCAGGCTTTTTCTGCTGAGCCATGGCAGGCATGAAGCTGGATAATCTTTAACTCTTGAGAAATATTTTGCTTTAGGTCTTTTCTCATTAACTCTACCAGCTCTAGCTTGCTAAATTGAATGATGTCCACAGGGCCAGTAAGTTTATTTTCTCTCACATAATAATACATATAATGCACGTTCTGCCATTGTAAAGGTACATGAATGGTTCTTTTCAGTTAATAACATTGAGGAAGGATGGGCAGAATACATGCAGAATGCACTACTAGCTCAATCTCCAGTATGACAGCCTGTAATTTGTACCAACACGCCAGTTTTTAACATAAAAGCATGAATATCAAGATCTTCTTTTATTAGAAAGGCAGAATCAGCACCTTAATATGCTTTCCATCCAGCACGTTGTTTTGAAGAAAGAGGTCACTGAAGCCTGATTACAAACTGTGCTTTCAGTAATACAGAAAGGTTCCCTTCATTAGAGAAGATAAGCCAATGTTGGTATTAATTGAAATGGAGATTTTCTTTTTCCCTTCACTGTTTAGGCAGGCAACAATGCTTTTGCCAGACTCTTAACAACTTTATTTAGTTCCAAGTGTATCTTGCATTTCAAGTGGCAACCTTGTTTCAAGTTTGTGGGACACAGTGTATATGCCATATTTTTCAGTTTATTCTCAGCAAGGTTAACTGAAATTAGACCAGCTGGACTAAATTATCCTTTCATATGGAAATTGTGTCACTGTTAAGATGTCAGAATAGGACATGTACAAAGAAGCTTAGTTCTTTTACTGCTTTCCATAAAATAATGAATCTTGGAACTAAGGGTCGAGGATCTCCTAGGTTGGCTTCATAAACTAGGGAAATTATTTTTCTCCTCATCCTCCCTCTGCTGTGCCCTTTGAAAAGTTGCAGTGACTTTTTTTATGCCAAAATACATTGTTGCCTTTTCCCAGAGAATTGCAATATTTATTGGCAGCACTGCAGTGGTGTGTTGCACCAACAGCAGAGGAGGAACTGGATTGCTTCTGCTCTGCCAAGGACCCAAATATCTGTGGATAGAGAATAGGTTGCTGGGTTTTGAGGCATAAAATATCTTGTCTGGTTTACTTTGTAGAATATGAGTCAAGAGCAATCCCTTGAGCCCTCAAACCTTTAGGGTGTGTGGTCAGGTAAGAAAGGAGCACTGCCAAAGTTTGACTGCAACCTATGACCATACTGTGCTACCAAATTTCTGCCACATTTGCATTAAAATTTTGAGGTTTATCAAATCTTCTACTTCTTGGGGAAAAAATTGATATTTTTAGAAATTATATAATATTTGCAAAGCACAGATAGGAGAAGCTGCTGAAGCACACGACACTGGGGAATTTGAAGCAACTTCCAACATCTGCTAAGTTGCACCTACTGTGTAATAATTCCAATTTTGGCATGGATATTTTCTAGTTTAATTTTTTTATACTGGAACCTGAATTCAAAGTGCATCTTCTGTTATTGAGTTCCAATCAAATGAAGTGCATCCATGGAAGCACATGTTTTCCTGGATGAGCAAGCAGATGCAGCTCTAAACAGTGGCATTGGGATGAAGGGGGAAGTCTTCAGTGGTAGCAATGCCTAGAATTGCTCATGGGGAAAAGCTGCACCTTTCTGAAGTTAAGGTTTTTGCATCCCTATGTGCTTCTAGAAAATGAGTAAAAATACCTTTAACTTTGGCAGGTATCTTTCTAGACCGTATCAACTTCTATGATCCTGATATTATCTGAAGTTCTGTTCTTTTATTTTCATGTAATCTTTGTTACTCTTCAGTACCAGAAGTCTTTGAATGATTGAAATAGATGTGTAGTTACCAGGTTTTGAAGCAGTGCTGGACATCATGTCAAGGCTAGTCCAGCCTCCTCCTTTCTAGGTTAGCACAGGCCTGCTCTGTAAACAGCCTCTGTGTCTTTGGTGGATCCTTGTGGACTCTGCAGCAGGAGAATGGTTTATTCATAGAGGTCTAGAGAAGTGAGGAGCTTTTACCTCACTGAACTAGCCCCTGGTTAGAAAACTGAAACCTCACCAACTTGGACTACTCTTCTAATCTAGTAACCAGAGAAAAATAACAAGTATATCTTATATTCTATATTCTGTATTCTCACTGCTCAGAATCATTAAATAATCAAATAAACATCCTCAGATGCAGCAAATACTCTTGTCTATTCTGAAATCAGTACTGTGGGGATCTGTAATGAGGGGATATGTTCAGTGAATTTAATTTACAAACAACCTACCAACCTTAACAGTTATTTGTAATTTGTAAATCTTACCTGCCTGTCTGGCTTGTTTGTTTAAAAAATGCTCTATGAATTAATCTGTTACTTTTCTTTCTTGTGCCCTTATCCTTTCCAAGGTTACGCCTTTCTGCTGTTCCAGGAAGAAAGCTCTGTACAAGCTCTGATAGATGCCTGTCTGGAAGAAGATGGAAAACTTTACTTATGTGTGTCAAGTCCCACAATCAAGGATAAACCAGTAAGTAGCTTGTGCCATGACGCTTATGCTGGTTGCTAACCCATTTGCTGTTACTCTTTTCAGTTAATAAATAAATAAATAAAAAATACTGAGAGTTAATTACTTGTCATTTCCTGTTTCTGACCTTGCTGTTACATTGAACTGACTTCCTGTATCAGCATAACATGGCTTTAACTTTTGCTTTTTTCTGATAAATGCCATGTTCAATTAACTTTATTTGGTAAGCTTCAGGAGTGTGCATTCTTTAACAGTGTTAACTGTAAAACAATGCAATGATAATTTTTTATCTATTTGATTTGAGAGAAAAGAAAGCCTTATGTGATGAAATGAAGAAACTTTGCCCTGCCAAATTAAGATCCAGATAGCATCAAATATCTCCTGCATTTCATTAGGCTTTTTAATTACTATTTTTATGCATTCACTAGCTAATCAATTTATAATTTAGGCCTCATTTACCTTATAGAAACTATGGGGTAAAATCAACTACTGCAGACAGCTATAGCAGAATAGAAGACATACAGTAGCCTGTTTTTATTGTTCACATCTCTAACATTCTTTAATGCCTGTGTTTATATAAAAATGAGGTGAAAACTGCAGACAAATAAGATAAAAAACGTGCTGCTTTTTAAAAGTACTATTAAAAATCTTGCAGAAATGAATGAACAACGCAGGACTGCAGCACAGTGAACAGGCTTGTGTGATTCCTAAAAAAATAGATTGATGAAAACAGCTTTATCTAAATAACTTCTGAGCAGTTTTTTTCTGTGTAATCTAATGATTTCTTCTCAGCTATGTTGCTTGCTGTCCAATAGAAATAGTCATTCACATATTACACAAATTCCTTTTGTATCCAGTTACAGAGCTTGTATCAGTGCTTTTGAATTTGTGGGTACTGTATGTCATTTCAGGAAAGCCAGAAGCCCAAACTGCAACTGTAATTGCACATACATGGCAAAGTGTTCTGAAAGTCCTTTCACAGGTTTCTTCCTATGATGGCGATTAGGGGCAGGGAACTAATGAGCGTAGGAGTTTGTGATGAGGAGATTTAACTCAAGCCTGGCCTCTAGAGGTGATAAATGAGTTGTCCCCCTGCTTTCAGATACTTAGATAAGGTATGCTCTCAAATTGTCTTGGTTCTTATAAAACCAACTTTCTGCTTTTGAAAAGTTCAATTTTTTTTTTTAATTACAGGAAGATTTGGCAAGTTTTTCTTAATTTTAATTAAGTGGCTGAGTTCCTCTGCTAAAAATTATCCTTAATACAGGTGCAAATTCGACCTTGGAACCTAAGTGACAGTGACTTTGTGATGGATGGGTCTCAGCCTTTGGATCCAAGAAAAACAATCTTTGTTGGAGGAGTTCCACGGCCTCTCCGAGCTGGTGAGTAGAAGGAAAATGTAGGACATATAGCAAATTAAATAGAAAAGATGAGGAAAGGAAAACAGTATCTGTAAAAGATCAGAAAATGGACCCTGTGTTATCCAAAGATCACAGCTTGCTTTCTAAGACAAGGAGTATCTTCTGGTTTACAAAATACAGTGAACATTTTTAACCTCTTCAATAGGTTACTAATTAGGATTGCCAGGAGAAAGAGTTCTCCCCAACTTTGTGTAATATCCTAGAACTTGGCTGATTTTTTGCAATCCAGACCATCTTAATCCGAACCCTGATTTGGTTGCTGAGGCGCAGACAAGTTTCCCTTTCCTTTGTCTAAAGACAATGAGCAAACCCTTCTCCCAGACCCTTTCCAAACCAATTCCAACCTCAGCTCTATGATTTCTGTTTCCCTTTTGTTCAGTGCTTACCTTAATTCTTCCATGGAGTTATGGACATGGCCTCTCAGCTATTGTCCCAAAGAAAAATTTCTCCCAACCCAGGTCTCTTGGTGGCCTCACGTGGAAGATCATCTTCCAGACTTGATCCTAATGTAGCTTCTTTCCTTCAATTTTTTTTCTTCACCCTTAGCTCTTTTATTCACTTTTACTTGCAGAGCCATAGACAAGACTCCCTAGCTTTTGGCCAGAGGAAAGATTTATCCCAGCCCAGTCTTCATTTTGTTTTGAAGGCCCCATTTGAGCACTGCTCAAAAAAAAATGTAGCTTAACCCTCATTTCTTTCTTCTAATCCTGATATTTTTGGTGAGCTAACGACAAAGTCATGAAGAAATTTAAAACATTTCTCCTAGCCAGATCTTCTGGCAGCCCTCACTTCTATTTATTCTTCCTTTCCATGCTCACTCCAAGGCAGCTGCATGGTTTGTCTTTCTCATCCTCTCAACCCTAATCCTAATCCTGGAACAAACTGTAGTAGACAAGGCCTCTCAGTCACTATCTGGAAGAAAGACTTTCCTTTTAGCCCTCAGTTTCCTTCAGCAGCCGCTTTCCAGCCTACTGCAACTTCAGCTCCTCACTTTATCTTTTGCCTAATCCTAACTGTACCAATGTCCCCCAGCCATTGCTGACAGTAAGATTTCTCTTATTCTGGGTTTCTTGGCAGCTTTCACTTTCCTCACCATCTTAAAATAAGGCTCAATTGTAAGGTGGTAATTATGTAAATAGTAACAATTAAACATTAGCTCGTTCCTAATGATAGCCCTTTATAAAACGATATGTCACTTGGCCTGTCATAGATCATGTTTGAAATGCATTACATTTGGAAACTGATGCATTTAAATAGGTAACTTCTCCAAAGCAACAAACAGTTTCCATTTCTTCTTGTTTGCAGCTCTAAAGATCAGGTACAGAAGTTTTTTTGTAAGATATTTGAACGCTGCTGGTTTCCTTACCCTGGAATCCTATGTATTATTTGTGTATTGGCAAGGGTAATGTAGTGGAACTACTATTGGAATTGTTCATGATGCTTATTCTGTACTGTCACTTTTAGAGATCACGACCCAAGTGATGATTCCAAATCATTAGAAAGCAGAAGAATCTATTAATCACTACATTAAGCTGGTAGTTTTTCTTTACTTTTTGGAGCAAAAATATTATCTGGTTTGGTAGAATGAGTCAGACGTTTGTTTGTTGCAAATGGACAAATTAGCATATGGTCTTCCCTGCACATGGATTTATACAAATGCATATACCTATTCAATTTACTAATGAGAATTTTGTGAGAACTGTGAGAATTTAAATATTTAGTATTTATGGGTTCTAGTTTTATTTTAGATAGTTAAATGGTAACATGCTACAGAAAGTGTTTTCACATATTTCACAGCAGTAGAAAATGGCTGACTTGGCAGGGCCTGTTCAGGTCTCAGTTCTTGCATTGTCCATCTGACACATTTGTTGGCATATGAGGTTTTACAGTGGCCATACAACCTTGCACAATTTCCATGGCTCTTCCCTGCTTTCTTCAGCTTCTTTACTACTTCCTTCAGTTCTTTCTCTTCCCTCTGTATGTCTCCTCAGCCATGCACTCAACCTGTCTGATTTTATGAATGATATTTATAACTTCTTTACAGTTATTGGTAATAAAAAGCATAAAACCATAAAAAGCAACAAACCATTTTAAAAGATCCACAACCAAGATAATATTCTACCAAAATACTAATTTAAATTGCACCTAAAATGTAGGTTTGCTTTAGCTGCAGGAACTTCAGACGTTTCACAGGTTTTTTTTCAAATGTGAAATATATCTTGGATATCTTTTGAACCTTAGTACTTAGGGCAAAATATCAGATTCTAAAACCAGGAATATCCCTAAATGATCTTACATGTAAACTATCATTAAAAAGCCTACCAAGTACCAGGGTTTTAATATGCAATATTGTAAATTCTTGTTCACCTGATACCTACTTTAACAGCATAACTCTGCACTTCTTTTTCACACTTCAGCTACATCAACTTTTTACAGATTCTGGGTTTTGCCTTTATATTTTACTACAATTCATGTAAGGTTGACTCAATCTGTGTTTCACTTTGCAATTTTAGACTTTGGAAGACGACATGTCTGATAAGACAAATGGTGCTTTTTAAAGGCAACAATCCAAATGCCACACCATTATTTATGTTAAATCTATTACATTTAACAATTGACTTCTTGCAGTTGAATTGGCAATGATTATGGACCGTTTGTATGGAGGTGTCTGCTATGCTGGCATTGATACAGACCCAGAGCTGAAGTACCCAAAAGGTGCTGGCAGAGTGGCTTTCTCCAACCAGCAGAGCTACATTGCTGCTATCAGTGCTCGCTTTGTCCAGCTCCAACACAATGACATTGATAAACGGGTAAGTAAAATAGCATGGAGTCAAATAGTTGTTACCAAACTGTACAGGTATTTAAAAAATATTTATTAGCATTGTGTTGGAGAACACTGTAAATTCTTTCTTCAGATGATATTTGTCAATTTGTAAAAAACTTATTTAAGCATCTAAAGCAGAGTGAAAAAATACTTTAAACATCTTAAATAACTGTTAATGGTAAACCCAGAAAATAGTTGATTGTAAACTCGTTTGTCCTTGGTTCTCTTGAGTTCATAGGTCAAATTCCATAGCATTTCCCAGCTTCTTTCTCCTCCTTTAGATGTTTGCTCACTGTGCATCAGTGGCTTTTAGTTTAGTGAGTGCTTGTGTAGCTTCTGACAGTTTTGCTATTATTAGGCCATTTTCTGTCAGTAGTGTAGGGCTAGAGTTGAGGTCCCTAAAGCACAGGTTTATTGTAGTAAAATAGGTAATGCTGACCTCAAAAGTCTTCAGAATTATTTAACTAAAACCAAATGCCAAGAGATGCTTGATAGGCAGAAGGGGGGAGGAAATTAGATTGTTTTGTTCAGTCCACATGAAATCCCTAAAGGGCTTTTCAAATATGGAGTGAAGTTACAGTATTCACTAAAATTTGATTTGAACATATGAAAAGAAAGCATTACTTACTTTCCAGAATTATTTTTTTCCTTCAGACCTTCTGTCTTCACCTCTTGATTACACATACAAACAACCCATGTTTTTGAGGGGTCTGCATTTAGAAATATTCAAAAGGACACACAGTGTGCACTGTTGCTATGCAATTTTCTGAAAGAGATGGCTTGTTTTTCCCTTAATCCAGTTTAAATGATTTCTTCAGAAGTCAGTTCAACAGGTATTGGGTGTGTTTATTATGTGCAGTATGCATATAAAGCTACAGAGCTGCAAAGTTCAAACTATTTTGACTTTGTCTTTACAAATCTGAATTGTAATTTTTGTCAGTTTTGAGGAGGTCATGGAATTATAAATCCTCAAACAATTTGTGTATGGTGCTTTACACCATATTGCATTAACTAAGACAAGGCTATTCCTAAACATTTCTTGCCCATTAGATTCTGAAAAAATCTTACAGAGAGATTAAGATTACTTTTGGAATCTTAATCACACGTTGAAACCTTTGAGACCTATATCAGCCATGCTTGCCAGAGGGTACTTTCTAAGCTTTAGGCTAAAGCCACAGAAGGTCACTAGCTAGTAATTTTTTTCATCAATCTGTTCTTTTTTTAAATTTAATTTTATTTCATTATCTTTTATCTGTTTTTAAAATAGATTTATGTGAGTTTGAAGAAGTATGAAGTCTCTTAATGAATCTTTAAATCTTAATTTTTAAATCTAATAGATTAAGATCCCTGAACTGTACAGCAAACATTTTTAAAATTATTTCACTAGTAACCAATGCAAGAAAAGATATGAGAGAGAGAAACAGAAAGAGACTCTATTTGAGACCTTCACAATTCATGCTTGGGAAATCTGAGTAGTTGGGGATCTAGAGCTGTGCTGGACATTGGACCTGCTTTCTTCCAATTTCATTTGAGACAGGGCTGTTTTATTTTACATGATGCTTCTAATTTTAGTGATATGGCATCTGATATGCAAAATGGCAGTTACTCAGACTTGTTCCATGCAATACTAGTAGCAGGGTGTAATTAAAAAAAACTAGATTGGCAGCCCTAGCTGTTCTTTAGGTAAGAAATATAACTCACTATATAAGCTTTACTTCAAAGGAGAACATTTGTTGCAGTCTGATCAGGAGAAGCTGAAGTAAATTCAGCATAAATCTTTTTTGTAGAATGGTTGTCTTTCAGCTTGATATCTCATTCTGTTTCTTTAAATCTCTAGGTATTTAAGTGTTGTTACATGAGTCAGGTTTTCCTTGCAGTATACAAATTGTGCCATACTGGCACTTGTACAGTTACAGCAAAATTATTTATTATAAATGTTTACTTCAAATTTTTCTGTTTTCTAGTGCAGTTGACTGTACTTCAACCCCTTTTTATAAATAGCATCAGAGAGCCATAAGAATTAGACATGCATGAACTCATGATTTCCCTGGAATGAATGAACACTCCATTTAAATGTGTAGGCACAATTCATAGGAACATACTCAACGTCTGTAAGAGCTTTATTGCAAGTGTCTAATTATGCATCAGTCCTGCTATGTTTGGCACAAATGCTTTAAAAACAAAAGGCATTCCAGCCCCAAGTTGTTTATAATTGAGTGTACAACAAAAGTCAGCAGCTCTCTATTTGTAATTGATGGCAAGGCCCTCGTTGGAACTACAATGAAATTTTATTGCACCTCAAGAGCTGATAGTGATTTTTGCCAACAAAATGGAGAGTATTTAATACAAGTGCATTTAATTTTGTTTCATTTGAATCTCATATTAGTCTGGTCCTACATTTTGTAGATCACAAAAAAAAAAAAAAAGCCAAACGAAGAGACAAAAAAAAAAACTTCTGTGTAAAAAACACCTCAAACCCACCAGATCTCTGAAGTTTAGAAATCGGATTTTTTTCGTTACAAGTTTTCTTCCCAGATGCTACTCTCATGGCCTGCCCCTGTAACACCTCTGTTCTGATTACCTGGAGTTTCCTTTGTGGGAAAAATCTTTGGAGATTTTTGCTGTACTTCAATCTTAGTATTTTCCCACACTCAAATTTCCCAAGGAATGTTGAATAGTTATGAAAGCATGCCCTTCTTTCTTGAGATTTTCTGACAGGTAAAGTGCATGGTATGAAACTTTAACTACCAACCTCTTGGGTTAATCCTGCATCAGTTGAAACCCTTCAGTAGAGCCAGCAAGAATTAAAACTTTGGAGTTTGTGTTCATGCTCGGTGAAATTATTCTTACAGATGTTTTCTTGTCCCTGGTGCAGGTGGAAGTGAAGCCATATGTGCTGGATGATCAGATGTGTGACGAATGCCAGGGCACTCGCTGTGGTGGAAAATTTGCTCCATTCTTTTGTGCCAATGTTACCTGTTTGCAGTATTACTGTGAATACTGCTGGGCCAGCATACACTCCCGTGCTGGGCGGGAGTTCCACAAACCACTGGTAAAGGAGGGAGGTGACCGGCCCCGCCACGTCCCGTTCCGCTGGAGCTGAACCCCGGCCGCGCCCAGCAAGAAGTACTGGAGTAAATAAAATTGAGTGAAAAGAGAGCGCTGCCTCAGGGCTTAGTGTTCTGGAAATCTGTGCATTCGTCCTCGACTTTAATGAAGAGATGGGTCTTTTTATTACTATTATTATTATTTACAGTCACATTACTGAACTCAGTGTCCAGTATAATACAAACCGGCAGAGTGTAACTGTACTGATTTTGCACTTTGATTCACACAAACATCTGCTTGGTACCTTAATTTCCTACACAAGACTTGTCACTAGTGACATTATGTAGACTGCCATTCTCATCAGTCTTCACTGGGCTGATGTGTATGTGATGAAGATTTTTTTATTGTAATTATAATTATTTTTATTTTTAAACTGGAGCATGCACTTATTTTCAGAAATTTAGACTTGCCCCTAGCAGATGACTTACCAAAGGTAATATTCACAAGTAGGTGGCAGATGTAGCAAAAACTTAAACAGATATTCAGCAATCATTAGTTTGGGTCATTTAGAATAGTAATAACCCTTAAAGAAAAATAAGCCTTTAGTTGCTCTCGATTTTGACTTGTAAGGATGATACCTCATAAGCTGGATCAGACCTTTTTCTTTTGTTTTGCTGAGGGATTTTTTTCGTTCGTTTGTTCTGTTTTGTTGGTTTTTTTTGTTTTGTTCTGTTAGGTCTTTTAGTGTTATGTAAATGTATGCTGCAATAGCTTTTGCTGCTATTAAAATGGTATTACTAATACCATAATACTCTATTCAGGCTAGGGTATCAATTAAAAATGAATATGTGATTAAAATAGTGATGGCTGCTGAAAGGAGATCAGTATAGCATACAGAAAAGCTTCCAAGGAAGGTCAATATTTTTTGACTGCATGTTTACTTAATCAGGTTGCTGCATGCAATAAATTTTATATATGTCTAATATAAAACCTGCCCACAATGCACAAATTATGAACGTAGGCTACAAAATGCTCAGTAACAAAAAAAAAATTGATTACTGACTGGAGGAAGGCATGCCTCAGTAAATGTAATGCTTCTGAAATTAGGATCAGCCCATTACAGAATGACCTATATTACAACAAATATAAAAACTAGCTGTAGGATATTCTTAAAAAAAATTTGTGGATGGTAGATGAAGTACTTTGCGGTGCTCTGTTATATATCGTGCAATTTATTTTATATAGTAAAGTGATTATGTCTAGTACTGTGATCAAACTTAACTGTTAAAGCCTCTGTATCTGACATTACACATTTTTGACAGTTCATAACAGGTACATAAACAGAAATGAGCTCTTAGTTACGATCTCTGTCCTAATGCTTGCATCATTTCCGTAGCTGCAGACCTTGTCCAGAAAACCAAAGAGCTCATGCTGGCGTACATACACTACGATTAGATAGTCTGTCAAACTAATAACCTAGGCACATTTAAGAAAGTTAGGAAACAAAGTGGTGCTAAAGAAATGTCTGCATATAAAAGTAACATGAGATGTCTGCTCTGTGGATGTGGCGTTATCTCTCTAATCCCTGGATGTATCCTGTGAAGCTTGAATACAATTAAGACCTGCTAACACAGTGGACATTTTTTTAGCATGAACTATGGGGCTGCAGATAGCATATAAATATAAACACACTTGGTATACTAATGATTGTGAGAATGTGTACACTATTTTTTTTTTCTTTTTCCTCCTTTGTTTTTGCAGTTCTGGGGACAATCTGACTGGATATGACACCGCATAGTAGACTTAAATGTTCTGGGTTTTGTTTGTTGTGATGTCCTTCTTTGTGTCTAATTTAGTAAGTTGGTTTTCCCAATGTTTAGTTGCAGGTATTGGCTTTGAAAGGATTTTTTCTGTTTTTGGAGAAAAAAAAAAGAAAAAATAGTTTTTTACTGGTTTAAAATGCTTATTATAATTATCCCTTTTGAAGTTACTTCTGGGCGCTTTTGTGATATTGCTTTTCCCAGCCCAGGTGTCTTTTCTGTTTTTTTTCATCTGTACAAGACATTTTGTTATGCACTACTTTTTGTATCTAGACAGTTTTCAACAGTTGGCTGATGATTTTTTTTAAAGAAAAAGGCATGCTTTCTGACTGACATGATCTTTTGCAATACCTCAATTTTGAAATATAGGAAAGAAAATGATATTTTCTAAGTAAGTTTATTCAGAAAAATATATATTAATTTAATTCTGCAAGAAAAATGATTTAACAGATGGGTAACTTTATTTTTTTCATGCTTATTTGAGTTTTTTTGAAAATGAAGAAGTTAGAGCTTTATAACTGTAATATTAAAGATCATAGCTAACCTACAGAAGTCTACCTAATTATGTGAAAGAAGTAAACCTTTTTGAAGAAATACCCCTCTTTCATGTAGAAAAATACTCCCAGAGAGAAAGAGAGCGAGAGAAGCTGGAAAATGTACAATATACCATAATGTTGGATTAAATCTGAAACAAAATCATCATAAAGAATAGGTGTAAACACAAACTCCATTTGGTGCTGAAAGTTGTGAATAGAAGGTGAAAAAATATTTTCCCTTAATTTGTATATTTATAATCAAGTGTGATTATGCACGACTGACCAGAATTGTGAGAGTTCTTCTGTTTGTATTTTTTTAAAGAGAACTTTTTTTAGTTTATTAAATTATGACATGCTCCCTTTTGTTTTGTAAATGAATGTGCCCCTGAGTTGTTAATATGTTATATTAAAAGAGGGTCCTTCAAAAAAAAAGTTATTTTTTAAAATATGGAGTTCTGAACTGCAACTTGACTAAGAAGCCCCTGGGTACAACAGGTCCTATTGTGGCCTTTTCTGATGTGAGACTTGAACTAGTCGATTTTTTTGAAGGCTAACCTAACCTCGACTATTTGTTGTTATGTGCAATACTGTTTGTACTGTTTGTATAAAAAAAAAGAAAAATGAAAAGAAAAAAGGCATAAATCTTTATTGCAGATTTATTTTCATTGCAGACTTTAGACATTGTGATTCACTAAAATCATTTTTCTACTGTCAAATATGTACCTTTTCTTCATGCTGGTATTTTTTCAATAGTAATGTAGCCTTTGTACTGAGACAAATTTTCATTGTTATTTTTAGAAAGATTTTTTGCTAAGAAAAAAATTAAACATATTTACATATTTTTCATTTTTATTTCGTATTTTCTTTAAGGAGTGCTTTCTCAACCATTAATATAGTTGTTTCTGGGAGAGACTTTCATATCTGGTCAATGTCATTAATATTATTTTGTATTTTTACTTGGAATAAATTAATTTTATGATGCTGATTCTTTAAAAGTTTATTTTTTTCATTTTCAGTTATTTTTGAAGCTAAAATCTTTGTAATATTGTTACTAAAGTGTCTAGTTTTTTGAAATGCAAAGCTTTATGTATTAACTTGCTGATGTGGTTTACAATAGTGTGGCAATGATGAAAATGGTTGGTTATGTAAAGTGATTGGAAAATTGTAACAAAGAATTGGGCAATAAAATGACAGAATGAAGCAGAAAAACCGTGATATTTTGAAAAGCCTTTTCCTTTATCAAAATGATTTAGGGAGATAATAGGGATGTCACAGTACCAGTTCGCTGTCTAGATTTATACACCACCAGTGTTGATGAAATACTATTGCCGTTATAAGGAACTAAATCTATTGAACAATGGGTTTTTGACCCTGCCCATTCAGCATAATTCTTCATTACTTTTCTTGTCATGAACTCAATAAACTCTCTTCAACAGCCTTAGATTGAACCTCCTAAAATATATCTATTCTTCATTGTATTTTGCCACCGTGTTTTTTTATTTAGAGAAATTGCCCCTTTCCCACACAAGTCTCTCTCTGCATGCGTTTCTCAGTGGCAGCGTGGAGCAGACTGTCAGTGCCCACAGCATTTCCTAACGCAGCCACCCCACGAGGGTGGGAGCTGCCAAGTTAATGCAAAACACTCTGAGCATCCCCTGGTAGCAATGCAGTAACTCATATTGCCACCACGGCTGAACATCCCTTCAGCTTCTTTGTCTTTCTCCGTTCTTCTCTGCCTCTCTTGTGTCTTTGTCCTTTTTTTTTCTTTTGTATTGGCAATACCAAGGGCCAGTATCAAAACACTTTTCACCTCCATTTCCATCACCTTTGTTTCCCTATGCAGCCAGAAGAAACCCCTTCCTGAAGCCAGTGACTCTGTTCTGGCACCTGAAACAATCCAGACTAAAACTGGTGTTGCGTAAACAGGGCATACAATGACTTTCTCTAGACAAAACTCTCGCTTCCACAAGTTGCTGACGACCTTTTAGACTTAACTTCTGCTCGAGTGTTAGAGTGGCTCATCCGTGACTTGTGGGAAGAAATGTGCCCAGAGTTGGTCTATTGTGTATCCTCTGTGTGTTCAGTTCTGTAAGTAATGTATAGACTAGATCAAATAGTGAAGTAAAATTTAGACTCAAATTAGGTACTACTGGTTGGAATGTACACAAATTGCAAACAAAGGAGATTAAGGAATGAAGAGGGAATAAAAAATTCCTGCTAAGTGGTACAAAGTTTATGCTTATATTTCTGCCGACATGCTTGTATTTTATAGCCTGCTAGCAAGGCATGGGCTAAAACAAATTGTATTGCAAATATGCAGTTAGCAAATAACTTTGCTGATTTCACTATCTGTTAGAGTAGTAAAAAAAAGTAAAAAAAAAAAAGAAAAAAAAAGAAAAAAAGGCGCTTAACTGGGAAAAGCTCCCATGTTAATATTTCAGTATTGTGACATCTCTACTTGCAAGGTATGAGTGAAAGATTAGTCACAGATTTGTAGAAATGTCTCTTTTGTTTAATCTGGCTTGTATGTAGTTGCTTTTATGCTAGTTTGTATGATGTCAGCTAAACCCTTTTTCTTTTCCTTCCTTCCTTTCTTTTTTTTTTTAAACAGACAAACTTCTTAATCTCTGCTGCTATAGTGTTCTATCATACCACGGAGTATTTTATATTCATGTTAGTGACTACTCTATACCCCAAATGGGTAGCTGGTCAGAAATCACATTGGTCACATAATTCTGACACACTCAAATTTACATGACAAAAAGTTCATCAGTAAGTAGAAAACCAGGGTGCTAACAAGAGATAATTTTTGCTCTTTTTTCTTTCCTGGATGTAGTTCTGTTGGGGTATAAAGTATTAGAGATTTGTAATTTTACTGTCAAACTAATGGACATAACTTTTAGAGCATTCACAGCTAAGATCTCTGTACTTGTTTTTCAACTAATTTTAAATGTACTGTATCTTTTATTACATGTTCTCTTAGATTGTTTTTGCTAGTAATTCTAACAAGGCTTCTTCCTTTTTGGCTTGGACTAATGCTTGTATGGAACTGCAGTACTGTGACTAAACATGGAGCTCAATGCTGCTATTGCTTACAACTGCTTAAACTTTGTAGTTTGGACTTTATTTTTTTCTGTAATAACTTATTAAATATAGTTGTATGAAGTACTGATATTTGTCATCCTTTGCACATGCTAAGGAAATCCTGGGACATGCATTATGGGAATGTAAACTAGATACAAAGCCCCCAAATCTTGTACTGGAAAAACTTTACTAGATAAGGGTAGGCAAAGACACCTTACATGCACACAAACTGTCTTTCCTAGTTATTTCATAATGCAAATATATGGTCCACTTATGTATTTCCCCTAAAATGGAAAAGCCACCTTAAAGAGGTATTTATTATGCTAAACTGAATGTAAATACAAAAATATATATGATGGAAATAATTCTGGGAATGTAGAAACAAGTGCCTTGAGAAAAGGAACTGTTGAATTATTTTCTTTGAGCTAAGAAAAAGTTGCTGGCTAACATATATTGCACTCTTTTATTAGCACTTTAACAATGATTACAGGCAGATATTAGACCGATCAGTTAAAAAAAAGGAAAAAAGCACTACAACAGAAGTTTGTAAAAGTTTATTTTTAAAGAATAGGAGACAATTAAAGCTCAGCAATACAGCTGTTTGGAATGCCACAGAACGCTTCCTTGAAAAAAATTCTATGTCAGGGCAAGTGAAGGCCTCCAGAATAGTGCATGGTCTGTCACTGTTTTTATTCAATGTCTACATAAATGCAGCTCAAGAGCCCTGCTGGAACTATCAGCACTAGAAATGTCAGGCTGTTTTCAGATACAGTGAATAACCAGTGAGTAACTGTGAGTAACTTTGAGGAGAATGGTCTGACTGCTCTGCCAGGAGAAGTGCTTTTACAAGGCAGTGATCTGTAATATTCATTCCTGGACAGAATGAATGTATGAGAAGCTGTGAGCTTTTCCGTACTTCAGAGCTAAATTTGAGAGAGGAGTTCTCACAAACACCTTCCAATTAATCACTTAGTGTAACCTCTCACTGTACAATGTTCCAGATGGACAAAACTCAGTGTGAGTTTAGCTCCTCCTCAATTAAAGAGAACAGCTGTGGGAAGAAGTGCAGCTCCTCTGAAACTTCTAATCCCCAGTCCTTCCCTTCTTGATAGTCAGCCATGCTGCTGGCAAGGTACACTGATACTGACAACTCCCTTCTCCAGCTGATAACAGCATTTACCTCTGCCTTTGCCTGCATTAAAAAAAGGCTGCAGTAACTTAATTTAAACAAGTGCACTTAAGTACAAAAGGCTGCATGGCCTCTTTTGCTTCTGCTTGGTATTACTGGTGTTATTTTGGCAAACTTAAACTGATCTAAAATAGTCACCTATGTGACTCTGGAAGTGTATTAAGCCTGTTTAAACATGCTCCCAAGCTAAACAGTTTTGCAATCAAGGCACCAAAGCAACGTGTCCCCCCTCACATAGACCTGCAGAAAAGCTGAAGCTTAGCTCTTAAAAGCTATAATCTGCTTTCCTCTGTTTAGCAAAAG